GGGGGCGTACTCTTATGTTTTGCATGTCTTAGCGGTTAGACCATTGACCACGCGTCCTCGAGAGGACGGAGCATTGTTCCCACAGGACCGATCACCGATGGCCAATCGTTCCTTGCTACTTTGCTAAAGGTGGCTCAAAAATGCCTTCCCTGGTCTATCTATCCTACAGATATCACTTCCCGCCTTTTCAACCCACTTCCTACGCCCAGTACAGCTAACGTCCGCTCCTGGCTATCCCATGCCTGAAACACCTCCCTGTATTTGTCTTCTGTTTTTCCCAGCTCAGTCATGCAAACTTCGCTCTACCTCTTGTACAGCCGACATTTCGCGACTACATGAACACGGTCTTCGCACTCGGAGCCGCCATCACATTTTGATGTTGGCGTCTTCATCGTCTACCTTCCGTAGTCTTCGGCTGCGTTCTCGAAGGCATATGTCCCCGGTGCTGAATTTGACCTTACGCTTTGTCCCGGCATCCATTGGTCCATGTAGGTACTCCTTGAACCCTAGTTCAGCATTCCGTCGCTTCTTTGCCCTTCTTGTCCTTGGTTTCTTTCCTTAGATTCTGTTTTTCTCTCTCGGCACAAGCAACAGATATCTTCTCCTTGAACCCCTGTAGACCCTCCGTTTCCAGCGTTTCATCTTCGTCGATGTCGAGCCCCTTCCATACGTCCTCTACAACCTTGACCCATTCCGTGGGTTGTCTACCCCTCTTTTTGTTTGCCCACTTCGCCTCCCATACAATTCTCGGCAACCTCTCCTCTCCCATCCCGCACATGCGATACTGCCAGGTCAGCTTCCTCGCGTCTCTTCCCGACCGTAGGGATTGGATCCCCAATTCTGCCCTCACGGCTGCATTACTTGTGCGCCTGGAGCATCCTAGGATGGTTTTCGCTGCTTTCATCTGCGCCGCCTCGAGCTCTTTCACTACCTTCTTATTTCCTTCCCATACTTCTCCGGCGTACTCTAGCGGCGGTACGATTACGCTCTTCAAAACCGTCAATTTGATGCGTGTATCGAGGTGCCGGTTTGCGAGTATTGGATGCAGCTTCCCTGCTCGTGTTTTGCCCCTTTCCGCTACATTGGACATGTGTGCATTCCACGAGCAATCTTTTGCGATCTCTACTCCAAGGTATGTGTACTGGTCCACTACTGCAATCTCCTCGATCCCCCACTTCCATATATGTTCTACTGGTTCCTCCCTGTCTGCGTTGCATTCCATGGCGGCACTCTTCTTGTCGTCGGCAGTCCCATCAGCTGGATCATCCCCTTCCCACCAAACTTCATGAACTCGTTGACTATCTCATCCGTCCCTGCTGCTTTGTGGCACTGCAGCTTGGTCACACAAGCCTCCATCTCGTCCTCAATGAACCCGTCCTGTGGCTTTACGTTCCCAACGTCTGCCTTCGATGTTTCTTCTTCTTCCCCGGCCCGTTCTCGTCCACCGTCTGAAACACTTGGCCAAAAGCTTCACACTCCGACGGCACTCCAAGTCTCTTGCACATGTAGTGTCCTGCCAGAACTTCCCTTTTCCTCCTCCCGCTGCTGACTAGTCCACCGTTCACACACCCCAATGTTGCTACCCCTGTATCCCCCCTGCGTGGTCTTTTTTACCATCCCACTACAGTAAACCCTTGCCACAGCAGTTGCTTGACTTTCCCCTCCGGGCTTCGCCTTCTGCACTACTTCGTCCCAAATGCACTTTTTCTTCTTTTTCACTATGTACAGCCCCTTCACCTGTTTACCCTTGGCCCTGTACTTTTCCCAACCCCCCTCAGACCCCTCACTCAGGTACTGCTTGAAGACTTCTCTACGTTCCCCTATTTCTTCTTTCAGCTCGTCATCCCACCACTTGACCGATACCCCACATCGTACCATCTTCTTCCTACAACTCTCTCTGCCGTTTTGTTCACTTTGTATGGACTCACAACTTCAATCACTCTGTCCCCTGCTGCTTGTACGTCTGCCTGTCGGTCTTAAACGCTGCTCAGCAGATTCCTCAAGTATTCTACACTGCCTTCTGGAGATCATCCAGGGTCCTCTCGTCTCCCAGGCGCTCTACTTTCCACCGGAACACTTTCCTCTGTTTCTTACTCTCCGCCTTCCTAGCTCGGTCGATGGTTGCCCACATGAGGAAGTGGTCGGTCGAACCTATATCTATCGCACTTACGTGCATCTCTGTGATCTGTGTGCTCCCCATATCTACCAGGATGTAGTCAAGAACCGAGTTCTCCTCGCAGGCTGCCCGTTGCCTGGTGAACTCCGGCTTATCGCAGTCCTTTCTACCGTTCAACACCATCAGCTCGTTGCTTCCCAAGAATTCAATCATCCTCACTCCGTTGCCATTCGCTTTGTCTTCTCCGTACTGCCCGATCGCTTATCCTCTACTGGAAGCTTTCCCTACTCTGGAGTTGAAATCGCCCACCATGACATTTCCCCTCAATAGACTATAGTTGCTGTGGACTTTCAGCATGCAGCTATCCTCAGTCAACGCGTATGTGTCCGGCAGCAGTCAATCTTATGAGTTTTCAGGACGCGCTATTTTCACTATGAGGTTTCAGTGTGCAGCAATCTTCACTCCACTCGTCCATGCGCCCATGTGTTACGCTTTTGCTTCGTAGCGCAAACGTTGTGAGTGCTACATTTGGGGTGGTTTCAGCGCTNGGAGCACGCCGGGTTCTCAC